GTTTTATATGAATTCCATGTTGTACGAGTCACTTAGATTTTACAAATACGTGTGCCGGGCCGTGAACGGCTCACGTATTTGTAAAATCTAAGTGACTCGTACAACATGGAATTCATATAAAACGGAATTATCAACAGTATTATAGGGGGTCGACTGTATACGATACTAAAACGAATACTTAGAAATTCTCTACTTTTATTTAAATCAACATAGACAAAAATTCTATATCAGACGAACTTAGAACTCAAAATATAAAATTTCCTTTCATTTACAAAGCGAAAAATATTTTTAAATCGTAATGCAATTGTTTAGATGTACTACATAAATACATACATAAATATGTATATAAGATAATTAAAGATTATATAGCCTGCTATTTAGAATTTCAAAATATTCTTTTCCTCTTGTAATGGCATAAACAATGACGATGCATAATATACAAACAAATATACATTCAATGATATTAATTTTATGGAATGAACTTTCTATTATTACTTTCGTTTCGGATAATTATTTTACATAATTTGTTTTGTAATTTCCAAAAGAGACTTTTATAACTGAAAAATTGAGGGTAAGATTCGCAATTAATAATGTTAATTCTTTTCAAAACCTTACGATAATGTTAAAAACTTCATTTTTCTGTGTGTATAACTCGCTTTAAAGATATCTTTTCCAGCCTTAAAAATTCGCTTTTAACAGTATTACAAAGTTCTATTCGACTTTGAAACGTTACGCAAGTAATTCTGAAAACAAAATAACCTATAAATATGCGTATATATCCGTTGGTAATTAGCTAAGGCGTGATATCATCGTACATACTCTACCCTCAACTGTAAACAAGCATCGTAAACAAATAAAAAAATCTGACATATTCGATATTTAGACGGGACACTTACAACTATGGAAGTGACGAAAAGTAATTCAATTTAGTAATACACAATGCAGGTAACTTAAAGATTAGCCGGCGAATTGATATAACAATCGGAAGAATGCACTGTATTTTCTAGGCCAATTTAGTAGTAACGTAAAAGAGGGCAGAGATTCGACCCGGGTGCATAAAAGTCTATTAATTTCGTTGTCGCATAGAATATTAAAGTAAGCGGATTGTTTGGAATAATTATACGCACTTTGTCCTTACTTTGTGGCACGTTACCTTACTTCGATCTTCTCGTCTCGCCGATGTTCTTAGGCTCGGAGCTTCTTTTGCCTGTATTCGTTATAAAATAGAAAGATATTGCGCATCTTTTATGTATATTTTTTGGCTTAATTTCGTAACTAATTTAGTTAATAATGCGAACGGAGTAAAGAGACTAAAGACGAAACACGAAAATAAATAATTAAGCTAATATTAGAAATGCATAATATATATTCCTGTACGGTTTGAATATTTTAAAGAGTGATTTGATAGATAACACTGCGGCATTCCACTCGCTTCTCTACCAAACCGATACGTGACTGTCAACCATCCAATAACCTGCATTAGCAATTATATAAAACATAATATAAAATTAATGAGTATCTTAGAGAGGAACATAAATTGGCAACAGTGATGGGGCATGACTGAAGTAACGCCATCTGGTGAACCATAAACCAACTAATTAGGCCGTAATTGCATCCTTAAGGTGTCAACGGGTCTTAAATCATCGGGTTCACGACCGCATTGATCACGTGGCCGAGACGTCACTAGCCCAAGCGTGACGTCACCGACTGGCAGCAATTAGTGACTTCGCTAATTACATGCTGATGTGACGACGCACTGTGCGGAAATGTGCGATTAACCCGGAGCACAACTCAATGACTTCATTTCTCTTCTCAATATAAAACCTAAAAGTTTGACAATGACGTCGCTTCTAGTGTCAAATACTCCAAGGAGTCTATTAAGGCTGCAAATGAGTGATCCGACCAGCTTATCCTCGCCCGGAACCGATCGACGGTCCCGACTACTTTCGATATTTCCCGATTTCCTACTTTCAATGGGTTTTTCGTTCCCGTTCGTATCCAAACAATCGCTTAAAACAACCTCCAAAGCTCTAACTTTTCGATAAAATTCCGAAAAGACCGACATTTTACACATTTTATCTCTTCCACCCTCGTTCGTAAAAATTAAAATTTCTCTCTAGTATTTACATAGGTTTCTCTCGCAGCTTATTATTATATTTATATTCAACGAATCTCCGTATGTTACGTAAACTGTCCGTGAAATATACGTATATAGGCCTAATATAGATTCCTACAAAACAAGTTTTTACGAACAGGTATCGGAAACGATGCTTTTGATATTTTATTTTTACTTCATAACAACAGCGAATCGTTGCCACGCAACCTTGCATTTTTACAAGAACTGAAATAATCCTATAATTTATTAGAAAAAGTAAAATTCGTTAGATTGAAAAGAAAAAAGAAAAAAAAAAAAAGAAAATTTGTCATAAATATGGGCATTTCGACTTATTTCTGTCTACTTTAAATCTATTCGCAATTCATTGATCAAAAACCATAAAACAAGGATCAGCAGCGGTGCAGGAAAAACTTCGCTTAGAAAATACCTCGCGGACATCACGTCGACCAAAACAAGGGGGCCCACATTTTCAGATCTCATCTCGGAGGACTTAGACCCACGTCTTTGAATGTCACCGCTCTTCGCCATTATCGAACAAACCATGTGTATGGACCAGTTGCTAAATAACGTACGAGAATCCAAAACAAGTAAGCGAACGAACAAACAAACAAACAACGAGGCTTTAAAAGGTCACACACACACACACATACAATACAAGAAATGTATCTCGTAACGAAAATTTTCAAATGTCCTTCGATTTTCTAGTTTTAATAACAATTGTCTTCTTCATGGTTTGGTTGTTTCTTTCAGACAATAAACAACTTATTATTGTTGACGGTTCAGCAATCACTGGTAAATCAAAATTAAATGACGTCATATTTTAATTCAACTCGATAAATTCTTCTTTGAAAAATTAATAACAATTATATTATTTATAAATGTCTATTTAAAGACATTTTTCTTATATTATTTTTTAAAATAATTTTAATTAAAATCGCGGTGTCATAAATCTCACTACGGATAAAGATTTAAAAAAAAAAAAAAAATTCAAATTTAAATGGACCAATGGGCGACGGAATCGTTCGGACACCACCTATGATACAAAAAGTACAATAATTACTTTAAATATCACACTAAGAATATTAAGAACGTTTTAAATATTTCATGTTGGGAGAGAAATAGAGAGAAAGAGAGAGAGAGGAATGAATTTTTTCCGCTTGGTTTTGTGCTAAACTTTTTTATTCTTAACGTAATTTTAACATAATGGCGTCATTTAAGTGAGCAGTCAGCGACAGAAGAGATGGACAAGTTGATCAAGTTAGGGGGTTTGTCTCGGACTGTGTTCATCTTTAATGCCGCTATTATCATGTTAATGATGGTAAAATCAGTGCTACTCGGTGGCACGAGTGTGATTATCAGTCATTCTGCCATCACTTTGCTATTGTCGTGTGAGCTCTGGTGTAAACTAGAGTCACGTAATGAAGAATTTTTTTTCCTTGTCTTTGTGGTTTCGGGACCGATATCATCTCTGGGCTTTCTTTTTTTTTTTTTCTTTTTTTTAATGTTCGTTTCGCACGTTCGATTGTCTTGCATGCTACGAGAAACAGGGGAATTGCTTACCGGTGTGTATATTCTGCACCTACACCTTCGAATGTGCAAGATGGGGCTTACCGTGTTTGTAAGGATTTTCGATTCTCCAGGTAATATCTTCTTTTTGAAAGAGAATGTGTTAAAAACAAGGAGCAACACTGCAATTTCATCATCGGCCGCTGGGAGAGAGAGAGAGAGAGAGAGTTTTAAATTTTAATCAGTCACTTTTTCTTTAAGCGATATTTTTAAAAGAGAATAATTTAAACTAAGTGGAAAAGTTAATGAAGCCTAATTCTATTAGGGCAGATAAGCAGATTCAAAAAATAATCGCACATTAAAGCAGAATATTAAGTTTGACTGTATAAAAAAAAAAAAGAATTCTTCAATTTAAAGAGATTAAAACCTATATAAATTGGAACCTCCATTTCTTTAGGTTTTCTAACAATTTACATACACATTACTCTCATTCTTGATCTAGATTGTCTTCCAATCACTTATAATATTTTTCACATAATTGAAATGTTAAAAACTGTTTTTAAAATCATAATAAGAAAGAGAATCTCCATTAAAACAAAACGTACGGAAAGGGTTCTCAATCTTCGTCACACATTGCCACTTCTTAAAAGAAGACTTGTACATTTTGCGGCCCCGGCAATTAACTCTATTCGTTTGGATTAACTCTCCAGTTAAATTAATCCCGATAAAAAAGTTAAATACGTTAATCATTAATCGTCCAGTGCCGATAACTAGTACCACAACCTCATTATTGCCTTTAAAACTTGGCAATTCTTCATTCTCGGATATGAAATATGGTATTTTTTAAAGAAGAATTTCACCCGGTTTAAATAATTTATACTTTATACTCCACATCAGAAATGTTTATTTATATACCGTACAGGTTTATGACTGACAGATGTTCAAAAATTATCCTAGCATTCGTTGCAAACAATATAAACCTATTTACATACGTTTTTCAGATAACATGTTGCATTATATCGAAATAATATCTAATATCCGTACCGCATGAAGTCTTTGTTAATCGTATAAAAGAACAAACTACTGTAACTTTTACTGTCATTATTATTATTGTTATTACAAAACTATGCAAAGTATTGAATAAGTCGTATTATGTTTAAAATTTCTCAACACAATAATCGAGTATAATTCAGAAATTATTCCATCAAAAACTATTGATTGAAATCGCTTTTAATTCCTGCATTAAATAATTTAATTACAAGTCGACCCCCCCCTATAACACCGTTGATTATTCCGTTTTATATGAATCCAATGTTGTACGAGTCACTTAGATTTTACAAATACCTGAGCCGTTCACAGCCCGGCACACGTATTTGTAAAATCTAAGTGACTCGTACAACGTGGAATTCATATAAAACGGAATAATGAACAGTGTTATAGGGGGGTCGACTTGTACCTTTATTCAAACGTGAATAAAGACCGAACGTTTCAAAATTTTCGACTTTGATTCGTAACGGAATCGTTATTATTTATTTTAGCAGACGTTTTTATAGATAAATAACAAGCTATTTATAAAAATGATAAATAAAGATAGGCCTTTAAGTTTCCTTAACTATAATAATGCACACGGTCTTATTTACTATATCTCTATAAACATACCCCCCGACAACTTTCGTAATTAGTATAAAAATTAATGTACGATTCATTAATATAAAAATTAATAATATCGACAGAATAAATAAACTTTACCGTTCATTTTTCGAAAGAAATTATTTTTAGTTCGACGGTTGTAATTAAACACACGCTATTATATTATGCAATACGTCATACGTTAAAGGAACCGATTTAAACTAGTTTTTTATATAATTGGTAATTAATAAATAGATTAAGGCCTAATACTACTACTTATACACTCTCTACATAGTTTACTAAGAGTTATATAAGAAGTTTTGTTTAGAAATCATTGTATTTTCTAGGAAAATTTAGTCGATAGATTCTTTGATATGGAGATTATATATATATTTTTTTCAAACAAAGGAACAAAACGTATGAAACAATTACAGACATTTATCCCTACTACTATCGAAAATACAATATTCTGTAATATTTAAATTCCATTGGGGTTTTAATCGTAATAATAAAAAGTTACCGAAATTTTTCCTTTCTGAATTCACTGCAGAAAATTTATATTAATAAATAAAAAGTATACGCCGAGAAAATAATTATGTATTAAACAAATTGTTAAAATATTGTTTAGTAAATAGCAGAAGTAAAACAGAAATTAAGATTTCATTTTGTAATTCTTTAATCGAAATTGTATCCTGTTGTAATAAACTAAGCAAAATAAATAAATAAATAAATATATTATTAATATAAAGGATTTAATGTAATAAAACGGTAAAATAAAAATGAAAATAACAATTAAGTGATGTAAAAATTCTTAAAAGACGAAACGTTTAATGAGTGGGAAAGAAGAAATTACTAAAATGGGAGAGAGAGAATTTACATAAAACACGAAAGTTTACAAGGAAACAATGACAAAACATAAAAAAAAAAAAACACGTACTAAACTTCTTAATAAAAAGTAACGTCCGATTCGTATAGATTTATCGTTTATAGAATACACCTGTAATAATTTTTCTTGTTAAAAATAACATAGAAATCAAATAACAAGGGAAAACAGATTTAGACATCATCTGCCTCGAAATTATCTTGTTACCATAACAACGATAAATTTAATTTGTCATACAACAACAACATAATTTTATAACGTTACTAATTTGGAATATATTTTTTTAAGAGAGGAGGGAGGGAAGTAAGAAGACAATAAGATTTAAAAATTTCGGTAAAGGAAAACGTCCCACCCCAAATAACAACAACGATCGCGATTCGGAATCGCTACGAGACTCGGAAAGAACAGAGTGAACAGATGGACAAGAGTAAGCAGACTCTTTTTTTTTTTTTTCGATTCAGACAGATGACGTCAGTTCATCTCCCCAATCGAATAACGGTCAAGTAAAAGGACGCACCGGTCTTTGTGTCGCCTTTCCATCCGATGACGTCACGTCTCTCTCACGGACGCTGAGTCACTTGCGGAGTGAGCGAGAGAGACAGAGAGTGGAGTGTGGTGTGGGAACACATGCACGTGGATCTTATGCAACATGCAACTTTCACCTGTCAGACCGACAAGCAAATGAAATCAGTAGGCGTGGCTAAAAACCATCTGCCACCAATGAACGACGAGTAGCCGTCAATCAAAAGTCGTTATAGTGATCGGCGATCTTTTCTACCTCTTCGATTTAGAATTAACGGAAGAAAAAGTTAAAAAGAAAACAAAAAATAAAAAAATCCTTCCCTAAATCGTGTCGAATAGGCAAAAAGTCGACGTTGCCTTATATAAACACGTGTTTGTTTCTACAGGCTCGTCTAAAGCAAACAGGGCCCGGGGCGTCGCGGCTAATTCTGGACACACACACACAGTCCCTTCTTTGTTATGTCACCACCTAGTGCATGTAAATCGTCGAGGGCGTGAGAGAAAAGCGGTTGACGTCATATCGTTGCGCAAAAAAAAAAAAAAGCACACAGGACCATTGGTTTATGGCAGCAAGACAAATATTTGTTTCTGGTGGGGTGTCAAACCGCTCTCTTCTGTTTAGTGACGAGTGCAAAAGAAAAAGAATTTAAGTTCTTTATGAATAGATCAATCGTGTTTTTACGAATATAAAAAATCATTTTAAAAAAAAACCCAGCGAGAAGCAAACAAACAATTGCGAAGATATTCGTAACGTTTATGTCCGAAGTCCATCACGGGACAAAAGTTACGTAAACTACTGGATCGCCCTTGAAATACAGGTTATCAGTTCCTTGAAAGGCATTGAAATAACTACTACCGTAAGACACTAGTTGCACCGCATTATATAAATAAAATTATATACTAGAATAACACTAGCTCCAACACACGTAAATATTTAAATTTAATTTTCTGACCGTTTTATTTAATTTTTTTAACAAGAAAATAATGACCTAAATCGAGAGAATAAGAGAGTGAAATGTCACCTGTATTTTTATCCTTCTTGGCATAGTGACAGTTGGGTCTTGTACTGGATCAATGTAGCACTGTCTATAAAAGAAGGAAATTATCTGAGATTATCACGGTTACTAAATATAGATACAGTAATAATATTTAAAAATCAAAACACAAGGTTAAAAAGATTGTTTTTAGGACGCTCTTCGATGTCGAAGTAGATCAAGTTCATTTTGGGGAGAGGGGCCCCTCAGCGGTCATTGCTCTGAAACTTAGGTTTTTCCGGGTACAAGTAAGGAAGTCGACCAACAATTACATAAAATTCATCTACGTAACGAGAGAATTACACCTTTTTTTCCCCCCCGTTTAGTAGATCAAATACCATTTAAGAAAATACGATATGATTTTTAAGATCAAATTGTTGGCCATGAAGAAATATAGAAACCTTGCTCGAAAGAAAAAAAAAAAAAAGAAGTATGACCTATTTGCAGTATGCGATATTGCTGCAAGAGATCGAATATCAACTAACGGAATCAATTGTAACACGACTTGTTTTTTTTAATGCGAACATCACTAAGTGTCAACGATCTAATTCGTAGAAAAAGCCAGTCATTAGGTAATTAATAGTGTAACAAAGTATCGGCCGTTGTTTAAGGTTGTAGGCCTAAGTGGAAAATCTTACGAAATCTTTTTTCTCCCCGTTTGGTCAATAAAAGAAACGGCAATTTCCGGTAGTGTAGGTAAGACGAATAATTCTCACGCACACGGATCAGCCAGTGCTTTTATGTGTTCCTGGCCTGGGAATACAGAAAAAAAAAGACGAAGGCCAACGATGACGTAAGAGGCAGGTTGAGGGACAATGCCGAGTTCCCAGTGCACACACTATTGTGTCCTCATGCCTGAACACCCTGTTACTTCAACAGACAGCGAAAATCCATTTAGACGGTTGAATGGCTGGTTTGTCCCAGGGATAGGCCCCCGTCCCACCCCGCACGCATAGGATAAGATAGTAACATGGCTACCATCAAACGTTATTTGTAATTAGTAAAACAGAAGGGAATCGCGCGCGCTCGATGGGTTACGTAACACACGTTACCTGCCTCGTCAGCGCGCTCGAGCACGTTGTTACTCTATTTGACAATTGAACGTTAAATGGGAGTTTTACTTACCGCTCCGGACGTTAAACGAGATGGCAGAACGTAGGAAAAATCGAAAGGACAAACTGTCACATAGGAGTCACACCGTTATCAAACGAAACACATTCCATAGTTCGCACCACGTTTAAACTGGCGTTGACAAGCTTCCCAATCGGCCTTGAAAGGCAACATTAAGCCGCCGTGCTCCAACATACTGTAAATACAAACATATTCTTCCGCCAGTTCGGTCTCCCTTCTCCGGTAACCATAGCAACACACAATAGAGAAGTACCCAACGCTCGGCACCCCACCGATGACGTAATGAATTTTCGACCACCTCTCTCTACCGGATCGGACGAGCGTCGGAAACTAACAGAATTACTTTTCATTGCGGAGACACACGTTGTTATTCTAGGTAGTGGAGCGTCGCAGCCGTGACGTCATATCACCTGCCTTATAAACATCGTAGAAGCACAAAAATTGGGTCGAATGGGACAGGAACTTGTCAGCTTGTTATGATAATCTTTGCCCCCTAGCAAAGATCGACCTTGTTGCTTGGAAAAATTTTTAACGCTTATCTTCTTTTAAGCGTACGTTTCTCGACCGACAACCGCAAAAAAACCCTCCATTCCTAACATATAGTTCCTCTGTTACGTACTGTTACGTCATCGGTTTCACGTGGCTTTTTTTTTTTATTATTATTATAACCTTCGCTCGAACGACTAAAGAGAAAACTTTTCTATGGCTGCCTCCATACGTTTATTTATCAATTTATTTTAAGCAGAATGAAAGTTTATAAATATAAATTTTAACTTCTAGCCATAACAATACTTCTTTACGTATTAATTCCTAAAGCCACGATGGCACGTAATAAAATTCGACTATCGCAAACTTAATTAGTCCAACCAATTAACATAACCAATTTAGAAAATGACCAATATCTTATTAAAAATATACCTAAATCGAGACAATTGACCATTGCCGTAAGATTATTATAGCATCGAAAATGACGTTTTATCTAAGTCTTGTGTAACAAGATATCTTCGGATGATATCAGAAAGTATTAAATATCGTCCTTCTTTATTGTCTTACACACAAACTCTCTCTCTCTCTCTCTCTCTCTTTCTCCTCTCTTCTAGACGTTTATAATTTGCTAAATTTAATAATTAAAGGAGTAATAATAATGTATGGGTAGAAAGAGAGAAGGTGGGGAGGGGGTAAAAAAACGTCACGAACATTACTGGATATATTTAAACTTTTAAACATCGAACAGCAGCTTTACACAAACTAAATAAACATTTGTAAGAAGGAGACAGATAGAGGTAGACGATTATAAAGCTGGACTTTTGAGAAACCATGTAGAATATCGCTAAAATATTTTACTTGGGCAGTAACAGAATCTCGTTCTTAAATTCTAGATTTCCTTAAGAGATCAAAGTCAGCGAGAATAAGGACTACGTTCGACGTACAAGAGACATCAAGATGTGCTTCATCAGCATAGAAATGTCATAAAATTGATTTTTCCGGAAAATTTTATTTCCGTGCACCTCAGCCCCATCGAGAGGGGTGGGGGAATTGGTAAAAATGGCTTCCTTCCTTAGTTCTTTTCTTTATATCTATCAATTTTTTTTTTTTTTTTTCTAAAAACCCCTAACAGTATACCTGTGGTGAGACCTTTAGGATGAAGCGGCTGATTTGATACACTGCATCTGGATAAAGGAGTAAACTCAAAAACCAACTTCCCTAAAATCACTTTAAACTCATAAATCGACTTAAACTTAATTAAATCCATCAATTTTAATTAAACATAATTTTTTTAACATGCCAGCACTGCTCATTTAAATTAAAAAAATAATTCTTTTTTTCTTTCTTTCTTAAAGAAAAGACTTCTTAATTAATTTTCTTACCTATCCTAATGTATATTATTTATAAAAAAAATTATTTAATAATTTAGTATTATTTTTTTTTTCTTTNGAAAGTTTATAAATATAAATTTTAACTTCTAGCCATAACAATACTTCTTTACGTATTAATTCCTAAAGCCACGATGGCACGTAATAAAATTCGACTATCGCAAACTTAATTAGTCCAACCAATTAACATAACCAATTTAGAAAATGACCAATATCTTATTAAAAATATACCTAAATCGAGACAATTGACCATTGCCGTAAGATTATTATAGCATCGAAAATGACGTTTTATCTAAGTCTTGTGTAACAAGATATCTTCGGATGATATCAGAAAGTATTAAATATCGTCCTTCTTTATTGTCTTACACACAAACTCTCTCTCTCTCTCTCTCTCTCTTTCTCCTCTCTTCTAGACGTTTATAATTTGCTAAATTTAATAATTAAAGGAGTAATAATAATGTATGGGTAGAAAGAGAGAAGGTGGGGAGGGGGTAAAAAAACGTCACGAACATTACTGGATATATTTAAACTTTTAAACATCGAACAGCAGCTTTACACAAACTAAATAAACATTTGTAAGAAGGAGACAGATAGAGGTAGACGATTATAAAGCTGGACTTTTGAGAAACCATGTAGAATATCGCTAAAATATTTTACTTGGGCAGTAACAGAATCTCGTTCTTAAATTCTAGATTTCCTTAAGAGATCAAAGTCAGCGAGAATAAGGACTACGTTCGACGTACAAGAGACATCAAGATGTGCTTCATCAGCATAGAAATGTCATAAAATTGATTTTTCCGGAAAATTTTATTTCCGTGCACCTCAGCCCCATCGAGAGGGGTGGGGGAATTGGTAAAAATGGCTTCCTTCCTTAGTTCTTTTCTTTATATCTATCAATTTTTTTTTTTTTTTTTCTAAAAACCCCTAACAGTATACCTGTGGTGAGACCTTTAGGATGAAGCGGCTGATTTGATACACTGCATCTGGATAAAGGAGTAAACTCAAAAACCAACTTCCCTAAAATCACTTTAAACTCATAAATCGACTTAAACTTAATTAAATCCATCAATTTTAATTAAACATAATTTTTTTAACATGCCAGCACTGCTCATTTAAATTAAAAAAATAATTCTTTTTTTCTTTCTTTCTTAAAGAAAAGACTTCTTAATTAATTTTCTTACCTATCCTAATGTATATTATTTATAAAAAAAATTATTTAATAATTTAGTATTATTTTTTTTTTTTCTTTTACACTTATTGATCTCTGTAATAAATCTGATTTCCTTATTAAATATTTACAGAAGTTAGATAAGATTATTATTACTATTATTATTATTATTGCTGTCCTTACTAAGAATTTAATTTAATTGGATTTAAAAATAATCAATCCCCCTTCATATTTTGTTAAAATTAATGAATATTTCTCTCGTAAATAGTAAGAAAATTATTAATATTAATAACTATTATCCTCTTTTCGATAATATAAACATTTCAAATAATAATGAATTGCGATTATCTCTGAAACTAAGATCAACCGCTGTGTCAGCCATTTTTCAGATAAATCGAATATTTTCGGTTTAAACTATACGAGTAAATGAAAAGTTACGATTATTAAATAATAAGTTAGACTTCAACTTGTTTCAATCCTTAATAATTTATTATTTTATTTGTTAGTTTCTTCCTTCTACATCATAAAAACTCCCTACACTCTATCAGGTATGTATAGAATATATATATATATATATAGGCCTATATATATATAAACTACAAATAGGTAGAAAAAATTCTCACCTTCATTAAATGAAGAATTTATTATATTTTTTCTAACATTATTACTTACATTATTTAATATAAAAATTGCATAATAAAAATAATAAAAGACGAATGATCAACCAATAAAATAAGTCGAGAATGACTAAGTTTAAATGAAAAAAAAAATGAAATTTAGAAATGAAAAACGAGAAAAATTATATGATTTTATGACATTTTTTTTTATTATTATTTTGTAATAATTTTTTTTTGTTTCTATTTTTCTTTTACGTAAAAAAAAAAGTGAAGAAAAACATGCATTAAAAGTTCTTATATCGTGTCGAAAAACTTAAACTAACAGTAAACAGTTTATCTAAATTGTTATTGTTTGTAGATAATTGTATTATTTTTATGACTCTGTTTTCTTTATTGTCTGATATAAATGTTTATTTCCCTATTTAGTGACATATTATATATATACAATGTTTGTTAAGCGACCTAAATATATAATACTAAAGGAAAAATTTTTACATTTATATAGGACAACCCCAGGGTAAACAAAATGTAGTGTTAAAATAAAGGAAATTAGAACAAGTAGGGATGAAACTATATAATTCTATCGGAATAATCCAGTACTTTTGTTAGAGATTAAGGCAAAGGGTACGTTTAAAAATCATCTTTTACGGTTGATATCGGTCGAAAAAACTTAAGCCGGAAGAAAACTAAAAGTAAAAGTACAGTACATTCTTATAAAGTTTTCAAGTTTAAAATATGACTTTTCTGTAGTTACTCGTAGTAACATCGAATAAAGACGGTTAGTTCAAAGTAAACTAACACCAGGTACACATGTAAGTCAAGAAGGTCACTCACGTAACATGTATTGTACACATGTACAAGAACAACAATACCTATGCCGCTTGTATTGATCTATAGAAGATTGTACTGATTACTGACCCGGTTCCGGTTGTTTAATTTCTGTTCAGTTTTTAACAAGTAGGAGGAAAAAAAAAGAAGTTCCCCTCTTTTTTTTATTGTTTTGTCGGATGTAACCACTTGCGCAACCGATATAAATACGAAAATTAAAATCGACCATATATTAAATTTACCTTATTTTTTTTTTTCTTTCTTTTTTTTCAAATCCCATCTCTAGTAAAGTTACACAACTGGAAGTAACAATTCCAAAAGTCAATTTTAAATATTAATAATAATAATATATATATATATAAAACCTTTTATTATTTGTTTATATTAACAAGTATATGGTATGTAGAACCGATGTTAGACATCATACTAGCAAAGTCTATTATTGTAGATATATATAAAACCTTTAGTTATTTGTTTATATTAACAAGTATATGGTATGTAGAACCGATGTTAGACATCATACTAGCAAAGTCTATTATTGTAGATCTTTTATAATTTCAGTCTTTGAATAAAATAGAATGTTGAATTATCCGTAAATTCATTTCCTTTTGGATAAAAGATGATTTGTTAGGTTAGTAAACTCAAATTCTGTTATCGGATAGGTTTATTTGATGAAAAAGATAGTTTGGTATGAATGTAACCAGTTTATTTTTCCAAAAGATGAAAAGGTTTTTGTCTGCTTTCGGTATATAGAATTGCGAAACTTCTCAATACAGTAATAATACCGAATTTGTTTATTTAAACATACGTACACACGTACATATGTATATATATATATATTCACATAACTTCGAAATGAACTTTTTTTTTTAAAGAAATTTGATTTATAACAACCTGACCGAAAAAAAAAAAAAATTATTCAATCAAATTAAAATAAAACACTAAATAACAATCTTTAAAGTTGTAAACTGCAACTATGTTACAGTATCTCATTTCGTTTCATAATCCACAAGGTCATTACTGAATGATAAAACTAACCTTTAAAAAGAACTATAAACTATTTATCATATATATATATATAAAAAAAATAATAAATTTATATCAAAAATAGCAGC